TAGCGCACCAAAGATTATCACATTACAATACAGGTAGGACCTGTCTGACAGTCTGAGAGACCAAGAGGCTGAGACAGATCTTTCTTTTGCAAGACATCACTGAAGAGGAAATAATTTAAGGAACTGCTAAACATGAAATTCTTCTAAAGAACCGAAACATTTGTAGATGAATGTCCCTGCCAGTGGATCCACACACTTCTGTCCCACATAAATTGACAGCCACACTGCTCTTTCCTTCAGCATCACAGACCAACACAGGGCTTTGCCCATCATTCAAGACCATGCTCCAATCCTGCTTTCTCCAGGAATCTCCAGATCTGCTTTCTCAGAATTGGCGTCCCCCTTCCCTGTACCCCAGCATCGACATCTCCACTGAAACACTTACTGCGAACTTGGTACCAGGGTCCATGCCCTTGTGGCCCACCCACCCTTAAGCAGCAGGGCTAAATGGAGGGCTCAACTAGCCAGGCCTTGCTGAGTGTTAGGTTGTTTGCATGTGCAGGTTGAATCAGGGGGAAAACAAGCTGCCATATGGATTCAACTGTCTCAGTTCACGCATAAGAGCCATAAGTACATATTTAAAAAAAAAAAATCTGAACTAAATATCCGGGCTAAGAGGGTATGGGCAAACATAACTCTTTGTCCTAAAATCCACAAACTGAGATGGATACAGAAATATTTTAGTTTCTTAAATTTCTCTAATTTTCTGTGATAAATGTAGAGAGGCAGTCTTAATTCCAGAATGACCAAAATGCATTTTTTAATAATTGTATCACTTCTATTCTAAAAAGTGAGTGAGAAATGATGATTCTTCTCGATTGCTATGGCACACACATTGTTCAGATTAACAGGAGAAAGCCTGCTGGGCTCTGTGGCCTCTTCCCACCTGAGAGATAGGTATTCGATTCCTCCCAGCTCACACATAGAAATCACAGTACTCTCTGGTGAAATTTAGCCCAAGTGCCTAGATCCCTGAAAGTAGTAAAGTCTTGTGAAAAGGTAATGAAGGGGTTCTGTACTCATTTCCTCTAAATGCTATTGTCAGCAGTAACACTTTAAAAGGCTTCAAGCTTCCTCTAGGTATTGCAAAACCTCCCGGTTTGGAAATAATAAATATCCTACTTGAATTGCTAAGAAATCCCAACAGAAGCCAGATTCACTAATCTAGAAGCAGGCTGTTTTCTAGAAGCTTTGGAAGTTTAGCGTTAGAATTCGGAATATTGGGGCGCCTGGGTGGCTCAGTTGGTTAAGCGACTGCCTTCAGCTCAGGTCATGATCCCAGGGTCCTGGGATCGAGCCCCACATCGGGCTCCCTGCTCTGCGGGAAGCCTGCTTCTCCCTCTCCCACTCCTCCTGCTTGTGTTCCCTCTCTCGCTGTGTCTCTCTCTGTCAAATAAATAAATAAAATCTTTAAAAAAAAAAAAAGAATTCGGAATATTTCCATAGAATCAATATTACAGGTGTTGGCTGGGCGGTAAGGCTTGAGCCAATAGCATTTCCCAACGACCACTGAAAACTTCCCATGGCGGGCAAATGCAGCTGGAGCTCCAACTAGGGGCTCCAGGCACAGCAGTGGTACCCTGGGAGTGGGGACAGGCTGGTAGCGAGGGTGGGTGGGTGAAGAAGAGCAGCAGGTTAGAATGCTTTCTCTAGGGACGGAAAGCCAGGAAGGAAGAAGGCCCACAGAGGGGATGGCCTTCCTTCCTCCTCCCAACAAGCTTTGGGGCCTCATATCAGACTGGGGCAGACCCACCTAAGCAGGTGGTGGTATGAGGTACTGCGGAGACCCTGGTTCCAGACCTGGCTGGGCACTCACTATCAGGGCAGTCACGAACGATTAAATCCCTTACCTTCCCTGGGCAAGTTTCCTCTTCTCCAATAGGACTGCCATGGTCCTTGACACCCAGGAATCGTATTTACCCATGGGGAGGCTGAAGAAGAGTGCGGGGGTGGGGGGCTGCCCACACGTCCTCTAGCGCAGGGGCAAGAGTGTGGGGAGGTCACTCTCTTGGCAGGAACCCCTCATCCCCAGCTGCAGGCACCCACAAGACCCAGCTCTGCTAGGATGTGTTAGTGAAACAGAAGGAGCCTTGGAAAGTCCGAGAACTTAGAGCTCACCGAGGCTTATGTTTAAAAATCAGGTCGGTCGTAAACGTTTCCACATATTCACCAAACATAAGATCGAATACATTTAGGAGTAAGCATTCCTCCTGAAATCCTATTTTCATTATCCAGAATGAAGATGGTTTACTAAGGTAAACTTCAGTTCTGTATCAGAGGAATTAATTACTAATTCTCAATTAGTGGAAGCTGAATGGACAAGTTGGATCATAACCAAAATTATTACCTGGGGTTCTGAAACTCCTGTCGCTCTCTCTATATAACTATATACACAGCATGTACACACACAAGTTCTCTTCCCTGTTTACCAAGAGTCGTCGTGAAGCTCATTTTGAAAAACAAGAACATCCACCTCACAGGCCCACTCCGTCCTTAGGAGCTGTGTTCCTAATACCATATAAAAGGCTTGGCACAAGCTAAAGCAAAAGAGCAAAACACCTTGAATTTTTAGCCAGTGATTCTATTGTGCCTTTATTCAATTAGCTCTCCTCTGTTTAATAAGATCTCTAGCAAGCCTCCTAGAGCATTTCAGAAACCATAAATTCACCAAGAATATGGTGAAAAGCATCAAGGAAGATAGGCGGCCGGCGGCCGACCCTCAGATTGAAAATGCCGACCTACCAGCTCTCGGAGGGAGCTGTCGGTCACAGAGGAGGGTGTCCGGGCAGTGCAGCCCTCACAACCCGCTGTACAGACAGAGGAGTATTTCTTCTGGGCTTTAGTGAGTCACGAATTTGACCCCCTCCGAGATCACGCATGCAACCGAATTTTCAATCAGTGTCCAAAGACGAGTGAATCAAACACTGCTTTAGGGCAATGTATACATTGGGACTCCTCCCCGCTTCCTCTACAACATGTTAGATCCGGCTCACAGTCTAGACGGCGAGGAAAAAGATGTGCGTGCTTGGATGACATTAGCCTCCATCCAGGAAAACATCTTCCCATGCTGCCACAGCCGGCTCAAGAAGGTTCGCCTACCCCCAGCTTAGACCCCACTTAGGAATTTTCCCATCTGTGTCCAAAAACAAGTGAAACATTCTATCAGTTGAAGCTGTGGCCATGTTGCAGGCTTCAGGGAGTAAGGCCCTGGTCTGCAAAAGACCAGGAACGCCCTCTGTCATCTGTTAAATACTCTCATCCATTCGCCAGCTTTAAAGACATTTGTATTCAGCACAGGGAAATGGAAACATTAAAAACTTTAATTTTCTTTTTCTTTTTCTTTTGTACCTAGCTTACCTTATCTGAACAGTGTAGACATGATTGATGGGTTTGGGTTCCCACTCCAAAATTGTCTTGAAATTAGTTGATTTCCAAGTTAAGTTATACGCTACTACTACCTCTGTAGTCCCTTTAAACAACAGAGAAACAGCTATCATTACATGGGCTCAGCACACGATTTCACCTTGATGGTATAAAACATCTTCCATCCCCCCAACATCACCATTAACCTCATATTAATTTTTTTTCCCACCACAAAAGCTTCATTACTGAATTATCAAGACAAAAAAAAAATTTCAAGTTTTTAATTTTCTTAGTTAAGGTCTCTGAACTTCCTCATGGCAAGATCGATCTTGTAATCTAAGAGGCAAGGATCTCGAAATCCTTGTTTGAAATTATTCACGGTGGGGGAGGGGGGTGGTGGGAAGCCCTGAGATAACTTGACCTGGAAATACAGCTCAGGAGCCTTCAGCCTCCTGCGATGTCTAAGGCCCAGCCCAGGAAGTGTAGGACTCAGAGGTTCAACTCACCAGGGAAGGCCAAGTAAGAAGGGTTTTGGGTAAGTTATGGAGAGGGGCAGATCCCATGCGTGTGAGAGAGGTTAGGCCTGCACACCATAAGAAAGCCAAATCTTGACTTTCCCCATTTTTATCTAACATGTCTCTATATAGAAACCTCCGGACAGCTAGGCAGAAGTGTGGCCTGTCACACCGTCGGATGTGTTCCGTTAGGATGCGTTATTACGAAGGTGCGCTTTGCCAGTACTCAGCGGGTCACAGTCTCTGCCCTGCCCCACGCACGTTATAAGCATATGGGGCATGCACAATGTGGTGTCTGCTCCAATCCAAGCGACTTTTTGCAACAGGATTGCCTCTACCTCAATCTAAAACAAAGACGTCCAAGAAAAGACCACAAGGGCCTCTCTTTATCAAGGAAAGTGGACGTGCAATGAAGGATAATATCCAAACACGGCACGCTGACCAGGACAGGTGCGGATCCGTGTCCACCCCCTTCAAGGTTGCAGATTACTGGGAAACACTTTCCCTAAACTCAAAGCGGGAGCCACAAATCCCTGTATGCCATCCCGACGGACTCCGGCCTAAGCTTCTCCAGCAGAAGGGGCCGCGGACCACTACCCTTCCTCCCCCGCCTGCGCGCCTCGGGGGCCGGGTCGGTTCGGACTCCGCTGCGTGAGAGCGGCCGCGTCCGGCGGGTGCGGGGGCACCTCCCGGCAGCAGGGCGAGCCCCCTTCTCCCGACCGCGCGCCGCTGGGTTTCGGGGGCGGGTGCCACTCACCTGAGGCTCCGGCCACCTGCAGGAGGACCCAGCCGAGCAGGAGCATCCGAGCGACGGCGGCCTCGGGGCAGGGCACCCGGGGCCAGGTGGGGGTCTCCATGTCCACGAGCTGGCGGCGAGGTCGGGAGGATTCCGTTGCGCCCCGAAGACTAGGGAGGTTGCGCTGGAGGCGCCGATGGGCAGCGTGCAAGAGCGGGAAGGGGTGCGGGGAAACCCGAGTCTGGGGGAGCCCGCGCCGGGGCGCGCTTTAAAGAGCTGCGCGGCCGCCCGCGCCTCCGCCGGCCCCCGGCTCGCCCCTGCCGCTCCTCCCCACTCCCGCCCCCGGCCCGGTCACTGGCCGTCGCGGTGGGCGGCCCCCGGCCAGTCCCCTCCCCTGTCCCGCCTCCTCCGGGGAGGAAACTCCGAGGGGTGATTCACCGTGATTCAATTGCGCCGCCGAGCGCGACGCTTCCCTTCGGCCCCGGCGGCTCCAGGTGCGGCGGGGAACCGGGTTCCCCGGCCTCCCGGCCCCCTGACGCCCGGGCCACCCAGGCCGGCGACCCCGACGTCCGGCCTGAGTGGGCGGGGCTGCGGGGAAGAAGGCGGGGACGCCTTGGAAGGAGTTCTCGAGGTGGAGGCAAGGATTCCCCCGTACCGTTCGGTTACGGTGCTGTCCCGGCCGGGGGCGGCAGCACTTACAAGTTGAACGGCCCGGAGCGGCTCCGGGCTCGCTGGGGCCGCCGAGAGCATTGCCCCGGCGCTCCGGGCACGGGGGGTACGGGTGGGGGGCCCGAGCCTCGGAATCTGCGCCCAAGTAGCGGCTGACGGTGAGCACCGCTCACCCGCGGTTCGGCCGCCAAGGCCTTCCCACCTCACCCGGCCGTTAGCGAGGGTTGCAGCCTGTAAAGGTGGTGCAAATGCAGGTGTCTGCCCACAGGTCCGGAGGTCAGTTAGCCCAGGCTCAGCCCAGCCCAGCTCGGGGTAGTGACTGAGGAAGAGCTCCCCCAGTCCGGCGGTTTGCCCTTGGGAGAATTCCAGCATGACATCTGCAGCCCTGTGGTTCCAGAAAGGATGGTTCTCACGCTGAAGAAGACATTCGTGGGACTGAGTTACTTCCGCCCCAAGTGTAGAGAAACCAAAAATGAAATTTAAAAATATCATCAGACTCTTGTGTGTGTGTGTGCCTGTCATAAGCATTGGGCTTTTTGAATCTATTTCTGGCTTCCTCTTTGGGCTTTCCTGTAAAATTGTCAGGCAAGAGAATGTTAATTCTTATTCTAAGTGGCACTGTACAAGGTCTTGTCAAAGTACCTGCCATCATTCCGTTTTTATTACTCTGTAGTTGCCTCCAAGACAGACTGGACGGGTTTTAGGGAGAGAGCAGAGTCTCCTACTTTTTTTCTAGGGAAGTCAGCCTTGCCTTTTAGTACATACTGCATACACATTTCCATATAACATTATGGAATAAGCCATAGCAATACACTCATTTTAAAGGCAATAAAACCCTGCAAAGTTTTTTTCTCTCTGTGTCTGAACTGAGATGAACTGAAATAGCACATCCAGGTTTAGCTCTTGTCCACCTTTCCTGGAAGCTGAAATCTGCACTTGCTGGTTTCCTCTTTGAGCTCTCTTCCAGCTCTAAAACCCACAGAATTTATATTTGCAAAACGAGACCATGCAAGCCTCCTTTTTGTAGTCTCCGGGCCTGAGTCATTTTCCCTAACAGATCTTTAGCAAGCCTGGGATGTGATTCTTTGCACTGGAGTTGAAGGTACCTAGAAGAAAATGTTACACTTGCGTTCCAAGACCCAGGGAGTTGTTGCTTTGTCTACAGAGTAATTGGTTCCATTTGGAGACACTGACTGTCCTGAAATCATAAAGGGCTTTAAGTGATGTCAGGGTCAGCAATTTGGCAAGAAAAATATGTTTAACGTTAGATGGTGACACAAAAAGTGATGTAAAGATTGATAAATTAGATAAATACTTATTTTACATATTCACTAAAATGATCAGATAGGGAAGAGAGGAATTGGTTGGGTTGCTACGGAGGTTTTTGAGTAAATATAGAATTGCATTCTTTAGAATTGTGCTCTCTCTCTGTCTCTCTGAGTTGAAGATACCTGTTTGATGGACTGACCATGACATGCCTAACCATGTATTTTTTTTTTTTTTTGGCATGGAACAAAATTTATTAATAAAAAAACATTCTTTCATATCCAATCCAAAATGCTGACAGGAAATCATTCAAACAATTAAAATCAGGACAGTAAGTAGGAGTGCTGATACATTTAATAGGAAAGGGACTCCTTATCTTATTCTGTATACCCAAAGTCTAGAGAGAACTCAGCATCAGGGCAATAATTCAACTATTTACTGAATGAATGGGTTTCTGTTCACCAAGTTAGTGCATATGTCAAGTATAAGGAGCTATAGAAATTGGGAATTAAGGGATGCTTACATAAAATGATACCATATTAAAACTTTAAAATTATATGTGTTATATTCATGAGGCCATACATTAAAAGTTTTCATTTTAAATGACTTTTTTGTTCCTAAAACAATATCCACAACTTACGTTTATGATTTACATATTTTGTCAACATTGTATGTACAGAATAATATTTACTGTCCATCAAAATGGAAGTTGACAGACTGTTTGATAAGCCTTACGTTTATAAAGATAGTTTTGTGCTGAAAATAGTAATCCTGTTTAAGGTTTGAACTGGAAGTTTTTTCTTTAAAATTTTGCTTTTTAAAATACGTGCTTTGGGGACACCTGGGTGGCTCAGTCGGTTAAGTGTCTGCCTTCGGCTCAGGTCATGTTCCCAGGGTCCTGGGATCGAGTCCCGCATCGGGTTCTCTGCTCCGCGGGGAGCCAGCTTCTCCCTCTGCCTCTGTCTCTCATGAATAAATAAATAAAATCTTTAAAAAATAAAAAAAAAATAAAATAAAATACATGCTTTGTGATAACTTATTTAGTAAAGCTTCCTGTAAACTATTTTAGACAGCTAATGGAATTTTTGAATGACGAGGATAATAAATTTCATTGTACAGGCTTTCCACTATTTAATTTCAATCTAAATGTTAACTGTTGGACTAGTACATGATTATTTTCATAAAATGCACACTCATGACTGCCAATTTTTCCATGACTAATTATACCCTGCCAGATGTTTTTTAAGTTCTGCTAAGTCATATTTTCTTTTTCCAGAACTCTATGTTCCCACTCCAAAGTCCCTCTGGCCTTTTTTCATAGTTTGCTTTTTACCTGAATTTGGGGTAAAATGGATTCACTGCTCTTTTTACCATTTTTATATGAATATGATAGTTTTATGTAAATTACTCTCAAGTTCACCTATCCTAAAGCTTAACCTATCCCCTTCCTGGGGAGATATACATTTTGTGCAATTTATTCTAAAAAGTCAGGAAGCCTTTCCATGCAAGAACAGCCTCCTCATATGATTGAAAATCTTCTGAATCACCCTGGAATCCAAGTTGTTAGAAAAATGCTAACCAGTCCCCAAACTTCCACATTTGTTTCCTGCTGTTCGGCCACCTCTCCTCCTGCTTACATTTTCTGGCTGTAGCAAGAATCACTAATGACTACTTAGACAGATGGACCTTGCTGTCAAGTAATACCATGCGACCCATGATGGATTTGCATTTTCTTACCAATCTGAGCATTATGGAACACTCACTGCCCAGCACTAGACAGAAAAATTTCAATGACAAATTTTGCCTTTTGAATACCAATGAAAATAGTTGGCTGCATGCACAGCTCCCAAAAAGGTGTTCATTGATTCAAATGTATTAAAAACCTACTATGTGTTGGTAATTGTGCAAAGGGTTGAGAGATGTAAAGAAAAAAATCCAGTCCTTATTGCCCCAAGGAGCTCTAGGGGGAAGAAAGATGACAAACACACAGTTGAAATCAAGTGAAGAACTAGATGAAACCAAGTCAGTGCAGTTAGTGGGGGGTACAGAGGAAGGGCTGCAACGCTGCCCAGTCATTTCCAGACTCCTCATCAACCACAGTGCATCACTGTTTATGCAAAAGCAACGTGACCTCTCCTACATGGATCCGTGCACGCACACGTCAAGGAATAACCATCGGGATATTTCTACTGGAGAACGGTGCGTTCCGCAAACTGCAAGCATTTTCTACACCTACTGCAGAGCATTGTTGAGTGCCTATGGATGAGTAAATGAATCAAGTAAGCCTGGGTTTATGACCCAATCTTACGTCCATGTATTGGGAGTAGAAGGAAGCATAGTTGTGGAAAGAAAGTCTCTGAGGTCAGAAGACCAGATCTGCATTGTGAGGCTGGCCGTGGGCTCCTCATCCCTAGAAGGATGTCTGTGAGGTCCCCTCCAGCCCTCTGATACTCTAAGATCTAATCATAAAGGGACTGGTCAGGCCAGCCTGATTATCATTATAGTTTAGGAATGTTTCACGCTTCTCAGAATCCTCAGGATACATCATGTAGGAGGGAGTTTTGGTAACCGCTAAGCTCAAGGTCACTGAAGGAAGTTAAAAAAATAACAAACGTAAGAGTAGGGAATAATTTTAACAATCAATTTGTTTCTGTGCAATAAATATCAACAGTAAAACTTTAGGAATGTACTCTTAACAGTGCCAAGTGCCAGTGATCTAGAAATCGTCTGGCCACAGTCTGATCGACGGTGATAACACAGAGATATCATTTACTCTAGCCAGTCTGCTTCCTCTTTTTCTTGAAAGTAGTAATGATTTTTTAGCATTTTGCAAACTCTGAAGAATGTAATGACTTTTTTAAAAAGATTTATTTATTTATTTGACAGAGAGAGAGAGCACAAGCAGGGGGAGCGGCAGGCAGAGGGAGAGGGAGAAGCAGGCTCCCCACTGAGCAGGGAGCCTGATGTGGGGCTCGATCCCAGGACCCTGGGATCATGACCTGAGCCGAAGGCAGACGCTTAACTGACTGAGCCACCCAGGCACGCCCCTGGCCCTTGATTTTAAGAACTGTATTTGTCTTACATCTCCTTTATGGATTTGTTAACCAAGATCTTGCCTTCTACAGACTAATAAATACTTACTGAGGGGTTACCGTGTGCAGGGCAACATACCAGGAACTGTCTTGTGCGTCCTTTTGCTGAAATACCTTGCAAGCTAGTCAGAGAGCTGAGGCAAATGTGTAAGCTTCCAGGAGAAGGCGGGATAAGTGAAGTGGGACCTGTTGCCATGTCTCTCGCTAGTAGATGGAGGGTTCTGTGCCAGCAGAGGCTGCTTTATCTTTACTAATATCCCCAGTGCCTGGCACAGTGCCTGGCATGTAGTATGTCCTCCACACCCATAAAGCCTTGTTTAAAGACAGAGAAGGGATTTGGGACCTCCAAAGAGAGAATTTACTTTTCACTGGGGCAATGAGAGAAGGTTCCCTGGAGGAAAGCACTGTCTGAGCTGGACCACAGGGAAATGGCTGAGAGGAGAAAGGATGAGCCAAGGGCTGGGGCCTGTGTGAGCAGAACGTTGGCTCATGGGCAGCTCTGTGGGCTCCACCAGGAAGTCTGGACTTGATTCAGCAGCAGTACCTTAAGAAACTTACTCTTCTGATCATGGTTTGTCAGAAGAATTGAGTCAGGGGGTGCAGCAGGAAGCTAGGCCCCTAACCCGCATGGCGGCCGAGGAATGGAAAGGAAGGACAGCTGCAGGAAACAGTACGAAGGAAGAAGCTGCGGGATTCAGTGACTGGTTGTGGCTGGGGGCAGGAAGGAGTTGGAGGGGTAAGGTTTTGGGCCAGAGAAAGGTGGCAGCACAGGTTAAGATAGAGCCTGGAAGAGAAGGTTGGCAGCTCAGAAACTGTCAATTTTACACATGTTGAAGGTGAGGGGGCAGTGGACCACTAAGAGAAATGCCCAGCACAAAGAGTTGGAAACGGAGCACCAAGGCTTGGGAAGAGATTGAGGCTAGAGCTAGAAATTGGGAGACATTTGCCTAGAGGTTTGGTCAAAGATGTAAAAGTAGACAAGGTCTCCAAAGGAGGGTCTATAGTGACAGCAAATGCCATAGCAAGCAACAGCAACCTGCTCAGCCTGGCTCCAATCAAAGGGGCGTGTGTAAGTCTATGAGTCTGGAAGCTCATAGCCTGGTAGAAGGGCTACAGAAACCAGGGCCTCTGAGCCTGGGTCTCTCTCTTGCCCTTGCCTGTTCTTTCTCCCATGTCTCATTGAAGCTGGTCTCCATTTGTGTCTGCATGCGGACTCTGCATGGCAGGGCACAGAGGACATTCTCCCTGCTCCATCATACCGGGGTCCAGTCGTCATTCAGGGGAAGGACTTTGACTATCCCTCTTTGGGGCACATGCCCATCCTTTGGCCAATCACCGTTGCCAGAGGAATATCAGGCCTGGCCATGTGTCCCTCCTGGGGCCAGGGAGTGGGTCTGCTCCTGGAAGGAGCAGATGGAGAAAGTTAGCAGTCAGACAGAAACAGTAGCTACCAGTGGGCCCAGGACTGTGACTGGAGGAGGAAGATGACAGGGAAAAAAGTAGAGGAAAGTCCAGAGAGCTGGGATAGGACAGATGGACCCTAATACTACAGAAGGAGAGTTTTCATAAGAAAGAAGGGGTCATGGCAGCCTAGAGTGAGCAGAAGACCAGCTATGTATGTAATTTTAATGGGTGCTAAAACACCCAGTTCCTAAAATTAACTTGGCTACCAATCTTGCCAAGTTTCTCACTTCTTTGGGTGGAAGCTAGAAAGAGCCGCACAGTTAAGTAGGAGAGAGACACATTAGGTTTTCTCAGTCATTCAGATCAATTCAACAAACATTTGTTGCCGACTCCCTGCCCCCTCCCCACCTTGTGCGAGGCACGAGGTTAGGTGCTGGGGACACAAAAATAAAGGAGATGTGTTCTTGCTCCGAAGATTATGTGATGAAGGACAACATGAGACAACCG